GACTAATATTTAAGTGCTGGAAAAAGGATTTAAATTTCATTTTTGTTTTAAATATAATTTAATAATTATTTTTTAAATAAAAAATACTTTATATTTTAGTTTTAAATACATATATGTATATATAATTTATATTTTTATAAAACTTTACATTATCGTTATCGTTACATTATTGTTACAATATCGTTATCAGATTTAAATTCACCAACCCCGATGTCTTTGAACTTTCCACGTATCAAATTATTTAACAAAAAAACTAATTTTCGACATTTTTCTTTTAAGTAAGTTAGGTTAGAACTTTCTGCTAATATTCATTAAATACTACAGAAGATGGACTTTCAAATGAGATATTAAATATCGTTTCAGATTTAAATTCACCAACCCCGATTTCTTTGAATTTTCTACTTATCAAATTATTTAACCAAAAAAAACTAATTTTCGACATTTTTCTTTTATGTAAGTTAGGTTAGAACTTTCTGCTATAGTCTAATATTTCTTTATTTATCTCTTTTCTGTATAATAAATTTATTTTAGAATTTTTAAAAATTTAATATCAATTCCAAATAAATTAAATAATGAACCAATTTATTTGTGAAACTTGCAACAAAAATTTTAAAACCAGCTATTCATTAGAAGAGCATAAATCCCTCCATTTAAATATTAAACCTTATGTCTGCAAGTTTTGCAGTCAACCAAGCAGACTTAAGGGTAATATGCGCAAGCATATAATTGCGCATCATAAAGATCATTATAAAAATAAAATTAATTATGTTAAAAAGGGAAATCTTTTCTATAAGGATAAGGATGTAAGTAAAAATTAGCTAAATTTCTTAAATTATTTTATATTGTTATTTATTTTCCAAATTTCTTATTTAAAATATATTAAACCAGATAATTAAACAAAAAAATATTTTTCGACATTTTTCTTTTATCTAAGTTAGGTTAGAACATTCTGCTAATATGATTAAATACTACAGAATATGGGCTTTCAAATGAGATATTAAGTATCGTTTCTGATTTAAATTTACAGACCCCGACCTCTTTGAACTTTCCATGTATCAAATTATTTAACCAAAAAAAATATTTTTCGACATTATTCTTTTAGCTAAGTTAAGTTATAACATTCTGCTAATAGTCTAAAATATATATTTCATTTTTTTGTATAATTTTTTTAAATTGTTATTAGTTTCTCGAGTTTCTTGACAGTTCCATGGTGTTCAAACCTGCTATAGAAACTAAGACTAATGACGGTAAAATTTTTACACCATTATAAAAGATTATACTTTTTTAAACTTTTTTAATAACTTTCTTTGTTATTTAATAACTTATACTAGTATTTTGTAAAAATAATTATTTATCTTTTGATTTTTTAAATTTATTTTGAATTCTTATAATAAATTCTTATTTTTAACTATCCAAATTTTTAAATTTAATTTTAGAACAAAATAGGTTTTAGATACAGCAGTTAATGCTGTCTTTTAATTTTTAAAATAAATTCTTATTTTTAAACATCACGAATTTTTAAATTTAATTTTAGAACAAAATGTAATGTCCGTTGTTGCTTTAATTGCTGCTGCTGCTTCTTCCTCTTCTTGTCCTGTTTATTTGGAGAATAATACAAACGAAGGGTTAAATGATGATTTGGAAGTGGCTGAAGAAGCAGATGAAATTGAGGGAGATAAATTTTTTTAGATTAATTTAAAATAAAACAAAATTTAAAATTTTATATATGATTAGGACTATTTTAAGATTATACAAGTTATTTTTTAAATAATTGAATGTTCTTTACAGTTAACAAATCCAGCACCACTAGATAATTCGTTACAAAATTATTATAATTTTAATAATATTCAAAACAGCCTACAAAACAATATAATCAATTCCACAACTACCGCTAATTCATTTTTATTAACAAATTGTTTATTATGCGGAGATGGCTTTCAATCGCGTAACTTTAAAATTTTTAGATATTTAATATATATTTGAATATTTATTATAGAATATTTAGATTTATATCATATTAGATTAGTTTAGTATAATACACTAGAGATAAGACATAGAATAATCGGTTAGAATTCAACAAAGGAAAGACTTTATTTACTATAGCATATTTGGTTAATAAAAAATTATTTATCTTATATTTAATTTTTAAGCATTGGATCTACTTTCTCATTTGGCTACGGCTCACAACTTCCAAAACAACAACAATAACAATAACGGAATATTTACAAATAATCAGCCACAGACCCAACAATCTTTTCAAGGCAGGGATGGGTCGGGTGAGATAAATTCGGATTAGGTTTCGGATCGGGTTTTCAAAATTTTTTTGGACCGGGTTTTGGTTGAAAAAAGGCTGGGTTTCGTGTATCGGGTTTTCGACCCATCCCTGTTTCCAGGCCAAAGTGTTTTTTTTGATTTATCAGGTCGTTTAAAATTACCAAATAATTTGCTCGAAATTTAGCTAATGAACCCGAATTAAACTGGAATAATAGCGAAAGTCTTAAACGAATCGAACAAATATTGAATCGTCTAGATTTACGTATTTCTTGTATTGAAAAACAAGTGAAAATTCTTGTATCAAAAAACATCCGCTGATTTTATTTACAAGTTTATTTTATTAATTTGTTTAAAATTTAAAAATTTTTTCCAAATATCAAGGACATGCGGAAATGCTAATGTTGGAAGTTTGAAAAGCAATATTTTTGAGAATTTGGAACCAATTTAACTAAAAATTTTAAAATTTAAATCAAAACATTTGTCAAAAAATATTAATTATAAATAATTGCATATTATTTTTCTATAACATTTTCTTGCATTTATTTGTAATATATATATATCTATTAATATTTAATATTTAAGTTTATTTCTTGTTTTGGTTGAAACACATTAGCGGCAAGATAACTTATAAAAAAGCATTATTGACTGTCAATTACTATTTTTTTCGATTTCACAGATATTTACCCTATTTGGCCATATACTACAAAGCCCAATGCATAATCAAGTTTCTGTTAATATTTAATTTACGTATTAAAACGAAAATACTAATAAAAATTGCTATTATTAGGAAAATAAAGAATATAGAGATCATAAAAATTAAATATTAAAGATTATATTCATTATTCAATAATCCTCATTAATATTGGCAAGTTCTTTTCCTGATAGTGAATTATTAGGATTAATATCAGTGTTGTAGAATGTCCGTTATTCAAAAACCGTTTCCATAAAATCTTTTCCTTTATAATTATTTTGCCTCTGGTTTTGTTACATATACTCCATTTATCTTATTTAAATAATGATTAGTTGTGTTCGATATATGGATACGTCCAGTTGTTGTGAGTATAATTTATGCAAATTGAATTTATTATTTTACATCTTCCGTCAGATTCCATTTACCCGCTGTATTTAATGCGGTTCCAAATAAACAATAACGAGGCACTTTTAATCCAAAATTATCGCTTACTGCTGGTCCTTAAATAATTTTTAAATAATTTGTAAAAGCAATGTATTACAATACGTAAATTAAATCCTTCGTTTGGCAAATTGTAAACTCAAAATGTTGTGACAATACGTAGGAAAGCAAATGCAAGTTCAGAAATCTTTAACATTCATTCCCTCCAAGGCATTCCAGAACAATAAAATTATCATCAGAGAAGGTTGCCGAAATTTTTGATAAATGGAAGCGGATTAGGAAAATAATATTCTCTATGACTAGTTACAAACACTATTTGCATATCTCGATTTATACTAACAGAAACACATCTCCATTAGAACCAGAGTTTCTAATAGAAACTCCATCTTTAATATACCAACACAAATGAAGGGGTTAAAAGATAAAACAATTAGTAATTCTATTAGAATAAATACTTTTTTATTAATAAATAAATTCGATTAAATATAAAAATTGTTGACTCTAAATTATGTCCTGATGAAAAGATATGCATATTTCTACAAAAACTTTTATGTATTGATATTTACTGGGCAGTCTTTACTATAGAAAGGTGGATATTTTATTTAATTGTGAATAAATGTCAAAGTTGTTATATAATGATCATGATAAAAAATTCGTAAAGAAGAATGATTTTACCTCTAAATGAATTCATCTTGAAATTAAAAAGAATAAAAGAATATTCGATTTTTATTAAAACAGAAAGCCCATAAAGTTCGGGATCTTTTCTAAGCGTCTTCCCCACTGGATCCTTTGTTACAATAAAAAACTTTAAAATTATTGTCTGTTCATTATAATACGTGATATTTTAGTATTTAATCCATTTATGATTAATTACCGATTTTTCCTGCATTTTCCATTTTCCAAAACCATTTCCTTTATTGTAAAAAAGCGATTATACAAATGATAGCTCATTTTGAAGATAAAACGTATGCTATGAAATTAGTTTGATTTAATAATTTTAAATAAATGATTAATATTTAAATAAAAATAATAAAATGAAATATGTAGGTTTAGGCTGAGGCTTTTATAGGTGTAAAGAATGCGCGTACTTTGAAGTTTTATATGCAAATTCATTAAAATTGAAAAATGTTTTTGCAAATAAATTTTTGCTTAATAGTTTTTTTGAAATAACAAAACATTTAATTTTTTAATAACAAGAAAATTTATATAAATTTGCTATTTTAGGAACAAAAATTAAAGAAAAATGTAAAAAAGCAATTAAAGTTGATTTTTTCTGACTATTGGAGTTTTTTATTTAAAAAAATTATAATTCTTCGTCGTAATACACATTTTTTATCAAATTTCTAAATGAATTTGTCAAATAAAAAACAATTAAATGAGACGGAATCATTTATACATTCGCCTGAACACGAGTATAAAAGGAGCTATCAAACCACTGAGAATTCATTCAATTATTCACTTAACATTTTTAATTTCCTTTAAGCTTTTTTTAAATTACCAGTTTAAAATAATTTTTATTAACAATTTTTAAATATACAATTTTTGTTAGTAATTTTAGAAAATTGTATTTTTTGCCATTAAATAATAATTGATTATGGAAAAATACATAAGTTCTAACATGTGCGGGGCAAATGATGGTAAGTGCTGTCAATACTATATTATTGGTTTTCTTTTTTCAGGTAAGGCTGATGCACCAATTACAATTGATGATAACCAAGGAAAAGAAGTAATGCAACAAAATAATAGAAATGTTCAGGAAAATATTACAATGGAAGGTAAATTTATCAATATCATAGATTGCCGTTATATTGATCTTAAAATCTAATAATTTATTTAAATTTGAAAGAATTTTAGCCTCAATTACTGCCTCCGAAATACAAGAAGTGCGCGCATTTATTATTGAACAAAGAAAGAAAAAAGAAGCCGCCGAGGCACGCCGAAAGCGTTCACTTGAGAAATCAACGTCTACTTTAAATTCTTTGTCGTCGTCGAGTAAGACTCCAACAGCAAAAAAAGCGCAAATTAAGTCTCAAACAAAAAAATCATCTGGAGTTAATCGAAACGCCTTTGATACAGTAATTAAGGTAAAATATAATTTATTTAAAATTTTTAAATGTTAATTTTAGACAATTGTTGAACGTGAAATGAGTCGTAATGCTACGAAAAATAAAGAAAATTCTAAAGGTTTAGACATTGATTCAGAGGATATTATTGATGAACTTATGGACTATGATGAGGAGGAGGATGAATCAGACGATCCAGATCCTAATGCAATAATTTCTTTAGGCGAGGATGAAGAAGAATACAAGCGAAAGCGAACAGAACGTAAGTTTTTCTATTTTTTATTTAAATATTTTAAGGTAAACAACGCGCTGAACAATTAGTTCCTGAGGCATTACTTAAGCGTGCACAGGTGCTTAAAGAACCTCGTCAAGGAATTTTCATCCACCAGTGCAACGATTGCAGAGAAAACCAGAAAAAACGACAAAAATTTCTTTACAATGCAGGAAGTGCTATATATTCTCTGCTTACATTCGAATTATGTGCAGAGGACCTGGACAAAAATATTAACCTAGGAGTGTATTATGCTGGTTGTTGGGGTATTACTTAATTATCAAATGATCTAGAAATTTTTAAAAGGTGACAAGGAAATAAATGTTACGTCTGAGGAACAATCGTCCAGCTTTGAAAAATGTAAAAAATTCAAACAATTGAAATTATTGAAAAAATTTTAAGCTGCTGGAGTGTTATACTTTCAATGTTGTACAAACATTGCTACAGGGACTGATTATAAGCTATTGAGCTTATTGAAATATTGTTGGATTTTGCATCAGGTAAAAATTTAAATTAACTACGATTTATTTTTAACGTTTAGTGCGATAAATGTATCAGTTTTCAAAGGTCCTTAGCTAATGACATGTTCTTGCAAAAATGTGGGGAAAAATACGAGCTGCGTTTCATAGTTGATTTTCAAAGAATTTTTTAAAAATAATATAAATTTTATAGGTTTGCGAGGCCTGTAAGGACTACAATAAGGACTACCAACAGAAAACTTTTAATATGTTTAGCAATTTTAATAAGAAAAAATGAATATTGATAACTATAACTAGTTTGAATAAAGGCTATTTTTTTAATGGAAATTTTAATTTTCATTCGTTTGATCGAATTTTATTATTGATTTTACTAATTCATTTTTAGAATTCTTTATAGCAACAAATCTTTATCTCAAATTTTACAACTTATTTTGTGAAATAAAAGGTTTCGTTTATTCTTTTTAATTTTACATTACATTTCAGATGGATCAACATGTAGCGGATATTGCACTTGAAGAGCTCAAAGAGAAACGTAGTCGTCTGGCAAGAAAGCTTGTGCAGCTTCATGGTGCAGAATATGACGAAAAGCAACTTAAGGCTGATCTTTACAATGCATTTATTCAACATCACCGCAATAGATATCCGCAAATTGGATTAAGTAGAATCCATGAGCATTTTTTGAATGAGAGACAAGCGCTGGGAAGACAAGTTTTTTTATTGAAAAATTTTCTTTTTTTTTATAAAAAATATTAAGGCCATTGTTGACGTCGTCAAAAATGAATTATATTCTGCTCTAGGTCATCCAAATAGCAAATATTGGGAACAAATTGACCTACAGTCGGCAATAGACGTTTGCTGCTACAGACGTTATATACCATCAAAGAAGAAGAGAGGTATCTATACCGATTTTTAAAAATATATTCTATATTTTAGAAATTTCTCCTGTCATCATTATGAACGACATAACTAAACGTTTAGAATCACAACTTAATATTGAGACACAGGCCAGTCAGGATTTAGCAGATGGAGGTGAAGCAGATGGAGGTGAAGGCACTTCGTCAACCTCAACACATGCACAAGACAATGTGTCAATATTTGAGTCTGGTACTGTTCATTATATGTCGACAAGCGAAGAAATACATTCAGAAGAAGGATGGTAAAGAAAGACATTATGCGAGACATAGATTTCTCCAAAAGTGGCTGTTTTTTTAAATGAATAAATTAACCAAATAATTTTATTATAAATTTTGCGTTGAAATCGCAAAATTATTTAAATAATAACTAATGAAAATTTTTGGGATTTTAGATGAACCGAAAAAATTTTGGAAAGTATTCTATTGACCACTTTTATAAAGAAGACGTATCCGAGAACCTTAAAAGCTCGAAATTCAAAATTGGTGTTTTCAGGTATATAAAATTTCTTTATATCAAGATTTTTCTTCCAGAACTGTCTTCACCGTTCGCAATGTAGAGGATGCTCCAGATGGTACTGACAAACTTCTAGAAGATCTGATCGACCACTTTTTGGCGCGGGCCGATAAGGCAGCGGGTGCAAAATCAGAAAAATGTTCTATAATTATTAAAAGCGCTGTTCTTGAAAAACCAATTCAAATACCATATCGAGGCCTTGCTCAAAATACTCCACAAGTTGTTATGGAGCAATTTGACGCGGTTGACCAAAGTGGCAAACGAATGGGAAGGCCCTCTTTATATAGTCAACCTATACATATTGAGGTTTTTTTATTTTTTCGTAAAAGTAAAAAAATTAATAGATTGTCATGGGTCCTTCACATGCTGAGGCGCTTGAATTAATACGTCAAGGACAGGGAGGCGTCGGCAGAAATTCGAGAGAAATTCACCAAGGAGTTGATATAAACAATCTAATACCTGTAAATAAATAATTTTTAAGATAAAACAAAAAATATTTAGGTGCGCAATGAATCTCTCAATCCTCCTGCAAATAATCATTGCCTGTTACTGGCAGTTCAACTTAAAATAAAACACGTGAACTTGAAAAAGTCAACTATCGATAATGTCAAGTTCCAAAGGCTTGTAAATGGTCAAACTAAGAATGCAAAAGTTGGACTTACTTCTTTGATCAATGATATGATACAACAAATGCTTCGATACGGAATGCGATACCCTCTTTATGCAGCTAATTACACAGTGGAAGAGCATGTTCCAATGGTTCAGCGATTATTGGATTTGAAATATCCTGGCAAATATAGAATATCCGTCTTTGGAGAACATGGTAAAATTAGGCCATTATGGAAAGGCCAAGAAAGAGCAGAACATGAGATCTGTTTATATTTAAAAGATGATCATTATTATGGAATTAGAAGTTTAAATTCACTTTTTGGAACTTATTATTGCCTCGATTGCGAGGCGCCCTATCACAACAAAATATCACATAGAAAGTCATGTGTGGCAAAATGTCCGCGATGTTGTGGCATAGGATTTGGCTTCCCATGCAAAGATTCTGAAGAATTTTCACAAAAGTGTTTAAAATGTTCAAACATTTTTAGAAATATTGATTGTTACAGAAGACATATAGAAAAAGGAATTTGCAAAATTTTCAAAAGGTTTCATCCAATTAGTCTAAATATTATTATTACCTTAGGTGTGAGAAATGCGGTCATATTTATCGTACTAAAAAGGATTCAAATAAAACACAACAATCAGAAAGTGAAACTACAGATGGGAGTGAATTTAATTCTGGCAATTATGATCACGTATGTCATATACAATTTTGTTCTCTTTGCCGTTCTTTCCATAAACGTGATGAACAATGTTATGTTCAACCAATTGTTCCGAAAATTGCTCGAGACTATTTATTGGTAATTTATAAATTGTTGATAAAAAATTAATTCGATAGATTGTGTTTGATTTTGAATGTGAATTAATATCTCCTATAAAAAATCAAGAAGAGTGGGAAATTTTGAAGAATGATAAGCTTACCCCTTTACGTGATTTACCCGATGATGAAAATTATCAACTTCATCATGTGAACTGTGTATCGGTACATATTTCTACATATCAAAAAATATTTAAAATTTAGGCATTGCTATTGTGTTCAAGATGTATATTAAATAATAGCTGGAATAATTCAGGAACGGGCGATTGCAGAATATGTGGTGTAGGATTAACAAGAATGCGAAGCTGGACAGCTGCTCATTTTAAAAACCCTTTACGTGAATTTCTGGATTGGATAATCAATAAATTAGGATGTGAACGTCCAGGAAGAACATATGCCATTTCGCATTATGGAGGGTTTGTGACAATTATATTATTTTATAAATTTTCATTAGTCGATATGATATGCATCTACTACTAGGAGAGCTGATTAAACATTTTGGTATCGAACCAAAAATTACAAGAACAGGAAATAAGCTTTACGAAGTGCTTATTAAAAGGCAACGTAGAAGGTGCCCATATATTTCATTCCGTGATTCATTCAATTGGATGATGCTTAAACTTGAACAATTACCAAAAGCACTTGATCTCAAAATAGACGAAGGGGGGAAATCCTTCTTCCCACATGGCTGGAATTTTAATAAAAATATGAATGTTAAACTTAATGGATTACCTGATAAAAAATATTACTACCCTGATTCCATGGGAAAAGAAAAAAAGCAAATGTTTGAGGATTGGTATCAAAAATACAAAAATGAACCGTTTTGCCTGCGTGAAAAAATTATCGAATATTGTGAACAAGATGTGAGGATACTTGCCCATGGTCTTGTCAAACTACAGAAACTTTTTTTTGAATTAGCAACAGACCCTTCTAAACGCGACGACATACTTGTTAATTCCATGACATTGGCTAGCGCATGTATTCGGCATTTTTGTAATTCAATTTTTTCGATAATTTTCAAATGTTTATTTAGGTATAAATTACTTGAATGAACATCAAATTGGAATTATTCCCGATAATGGCTATCATCGGGATACAAACCAGTCAGCAATTGCGTTGAAATTTCTTCATTGGCTTTCACACAAAACAGGACTCATAATTCAACACCAAGGAAGCCCTGAGGGAGAAAAAAGGGTTCTCGTTTCTGATGGAAGTTTATTGCGACTCGATGGTTATATAAAAAGCAGAAGAGGTGGATGGGATCAAGCTATAGAGTTTCTTGGTTGTGCTTGGCACGGGCACGATTGGTATTAAATATTTATTAATAATATTTTATTTCTCAGTCTCTATCAACCACACGAAATTTGTCTCAATGGAAAGACTGCATTATATAATAATGACAAACTCAATGAGCGTATACAACTTTTAAAAGAAATTGGAATTTGGACAATAATAATATGGGAATGTGAAGTTTTGGAGGAACTCGAAGAAGACGACGAAATGACTCTGTTTTTTGATACGTTACCAGACATTGGCCCATTATTTCCTAGAGATGCTTTTCATGTTTGTTATATTTAATAACTTTTCTAATTACATAAATGAAATTTAGGGCGGGAGAACTGGACCACTGTCGCTTAAATGCGATTTAGAAGGATCTCTAGAAAAAGATTATGAGATTTCATGTTTTGATGTTGTCAGTCTTTATCCAGCCGTTAACTTTTATGCCTTCTATCCAATAGGTTAATTTTCAATAGTTAAAAATTAATTTTTTATTAGGACATCCGAAAGTTTTGGAGCTAAACAAAGAAGTAAATTGGACAAAGCCCGAAGACTTACATCCATATAGAGGCCTATTCAAGCTTTTCATTATTCCTCCAGATAAATTGTATTTGCCCGTTATTCCAGAACGTATCCACGGAAAATTGGTTTTTTATGTGTAAAAACTAAACTAAATTCAATCAAGATATTCCATCTTTGTCATCGATGTGCTGTGGAGATAACACCAGGGGTTGCAAAACGAAAAAACATGCAGTATAACAAAGAAAATGGTTATGACTGGTGTCCTCACACCGATGAGCAGCGTGGATTTGTCAGCACAACGTGTTCTGTTGAATTAGAGCTTGCGCTCAAGAAAGGGTATCGAGTAACAAAGGTATACAGCATCTATCACTGGGAAAAATGGTCAGACACATTATTGAGACCATATGTGCAGGATATGATGCGACTAAAAATTGAGGTTTAATAATCAGATAAACTATATATTTAAAAAATATAGGCAAGCGGGTGGCCAAATAGTGTTTTTGCGCCTGAAAATCCAGAATTAGAAGATAAGAGAAAAAAGGAATTTATCGATAAAAACCAAAGTGTTTATGGTATAACTCTGAATCCTTCAAGAATTATTAGAAATGAAGGAATGCGTTATCTCGCAAAAACTTGCAACAATTCGATGTAAGAAATTTAATAGAATATTTAACTTTCTTTTATTAAGGTGGGGTCGTTGGGCTTTGAGATGCAACTTAACTCAAGTATTTTAAAAATAATTTTCCTGTTAAAAATAATTTTAGGATTGTATTACGAGTTCCCCTGTTAAACTCCACACAGTGCTTAATGATCCAAAACTCGAGATTGGGGCTGTAGAAATGCTGGCACAAAATCTATTTTCTGTTCCTTATCGACAACGAAGAGAATTCGTTCGTCCACATGATAAATATAATATTGCAATAGCATTGATTACTACAGCAACTGCAAGAATAATGCTTTATGATTACATGGAAAAAATATTCAAAGAAAAAGGGTGCAAACTTTTATACACAGACACAGATAGTTGCTTTTATGTACATAAACGCGAACAGAAACGACCGTTTCTTGTTGGTGAAATGCTTGGAATGATGGATCGTGAATATGGCGATTGGGACATTGTTGCATTTTATACTGGAGGATGCAAACAGGTTCATAAAAGATTAATTAAAGATAACTGTCGTTTTAAGTATGCCATGAAAATGAAAAATAAGAACAACGGTGAATTAAAATACGTTGTTAAATGTCGAGGTATTTGGGACAAGGTCGATTCTCCTTTGGATTTTACACAATTTAAGGTTGTATTCAGATAAGCTAAAATTAAAAATTAATTTTAGACAATGGTCGAAGCCTATGGTGATGAACAAGATCCCGTGGTACTTGAGAGAACTCATTTCCAACCAAATTGGCGCCGTGGGGAAGTGACAAGTCGATCACAAATTCGGTGATTTTTTAGAATTTGTTATATGAATTAATTGAAACTTTTAGTCGGTACACTCCTATCTATGATAAAGGATTTATAGATGCTAATTATGATTGTTACCCTTACGGATATAGAGGAGATCCAATAATTGATCCGACTAAATAATTTTTATCATGTATAAATTTAGCTAAAATTCTTTTTTAGATTCATAGTTTTCATACATGATATTTTTTAAATTTAAATAATCTATTTTAAAAATGCTTACAGGTTTTTGTTTGCTATTTAACTTTATTGTCCAGATGACAAGCAATAATAGTATTGGTAATATTGATAATGAAATTTGTTCTTCAATAAAAATTTAAGGTTACAATACAGGAATGCTGGAAAAATTTAAAATTTGTTCAACGTCCACTTTGTCTGTGAAAACTATACCACTTATAAAATTACTTTGTCAGTTTAATGGAGGATGTGTGCCTGAAACACTTAATTGTGAAATTCGCAAACACTATAACGAAAATTTAAAATTTATTCAATCTCTTACTACTATGACTAAAGAGGATGTTGCCAAGTTAAAAATTGGGCAACAAGAATTTACAGAAAAAGATATTCTGCCTGGAAAGAAGTGTCTTGTAACAAATCATTTAAAACATCATTATTTTGAAGTTTATCCTAGCAATTTTACTAATATGGGTTCTGATAGAACTTTTGCACTTAGAGGATATTTATCTATCACCATTCGGTTTTATTTATTAATACATAATCTTTAATTAATAAAAATTAAGGCAATTCTTCTATATTAGACACTATCTTAATCTTGTTTATCCTCATCTTCCTCTTGTTTGTGTTGTTGGAGGTGGAAGCCATGAGAATTTCTATCCAATAGAATGTCTAGACTATGTTGAGATAGAGGAAAAGATGTGATTCATAAATGATTAAAGTGTTTTTTTTTTGCAATAAAATATCAACTTATTATTAATAAATTATTTATCGATAATTTATTTAGTTAAAATGTATCGCCATTCAAATATCTTTAATATAAACTTCATATTTAATTTTATATTATTAAGATTTATTTTATATCAATCCATATGTTCAGTGACATCAATCTTGGTAAGAATTTACTCTAAAAATTAATTATTTATTTTCTAAGAAACTACTTCACTCATGTTCGAACGTCTCCAATTGAAACACCAACAGAATTCTCTACCACCAGAAGAGATTCTTGGGACTCAGAATCAGAATATATTTATTTTCAGTTCGCACAGATGCGGATTCGATAATCGGTTTAAATCAACATTCACGTTGCTTGGTCGAACGTTCAATTCGACTGAACAGTATTTTATCTGGCAAAAAGCTCGATATTTCGGTGATTTGGAAATTGCTGCACAGGTTTTGATGCTCAACAATCCGTTAGCTATTGGAAGAATTGGAACGCGTGTGAGAAATTATAATAAACTCGAGTGGGATTCTGTTAAGAGCAAGGCAAAAAAAATTTTCCAATGTAAAACTATTTAAGAATATTCCAGATTATGTACACAGGTTTATGGGCTAAATTCACACAGAATACTCAGCTTTTAAACCAATTACGTGCAACAGGAGATGGCCTGATTAGTCATGCTTCCGACTTAAATTTATATTGGAGTAATGGATTGAGTCCAAAAAGTCCTATTCTCAATGATCCAAGTATTTGGGAGGGAGAGAACAAACTTGGTGAACTATTGATGGAGTTAAGAACTGAAATTAATACAAGCATTTTTTGATTGATTTCTTTAAAAATGCTGAAATTGGATTATATATTTTATCCTGAGTTAAATAAATTTCTTCTTCTGATCTTGCTCCAGTAATAATACATTTTCCTGTTGTGAAGACAATTATAACTGCACGCGATTCTTTTAATCTTAGGCACATACCAGGAAAGAATTCTGGATTGTACGAAATATGTTTAGCAAGCCAAATAGGCGGTGCATACCTCATTGAATCATATAACGCTAAAAATAAAATAATTATACAGAAATAAAACTACCTGGTAAATTTAGCGGCCCCGCAAATGAAAACGATGAAACCACATTTTGGATTCTAAAGCCACGCATCTCTATTAATATTGAAATGGCCTCTTTTATAATTTGGACAAAATGTCTAATTGCAATTTCTGAGTCTTTTACAGACTTAGTTCCCACACAAACAATTCTACCATTAGAAAAAAGTAGTCCTGTTGCTTTCATAGGATATTTGAGTTTAATTGTCAGTGCTGAAAAACGTTTTGGTTGATATTTTGCTTCTGAAATTTTATTCGCTATTGATTGTAAATCAATCTTATTAGTTCCTTCAATTAATTGAGCTGTAGAAACAATATTTTGTAGAATCGCTTTCTGGTACATGTAAAAATTTTAGCTAATAATAGAATATAGGTGTTAAAGTGTATTTATGGCTAGAGTGGGGGCATATGAGTAAATCGTCATTTAAATATTCAGACTGATTATATCATATGCCTACACTACATCCAAAACACTTTTAAATACAAGTAATAAATTTTAAGCAAAAGTTAAGGATTATATTTGAATATATATGCATAAAAATGATTTATAATTAAACCACTTAACCAAAAGGTCAGCGACAAGTACTATATAAAATATAAATAAAATTTTGATATCAAAAAATGTTCAACGCCCCGTTTACAATGATAATTTCGGGGGCCACGGGTAGTGGTAAAACCCAGTGGCTTTTAAAATTTCTTAAGAATACTGAACTCCTTATTGACCCACCACCTTCAAAAATAATCTATTGTTTTGGCGAAATGAATGAAATTGTTTTTAAAATTAAAGAAATGGGCATTACTACATATAATGGTGTACCAGAACCTGAGCTGATTAAACAGCATCAGCTTTTAGTTCTTGATGACTTAATGCTTAATATTCAAAGCGAATTCCTTGATTTATTATTTACAAGGGGGTCACATAATTGGGGAGTTAGTGTAATATTCGTTACACAATCACTTTACGGCCGAAATACAAAGACGGCAAGAGCAAATGCACATTATATTCTCCTAACTAAAAATCCTCAAGGATTATTGCAGGTACGGACACTCGGCTCACAACTGTTTCCAAAAATGTTAAATTATTTTCTTGAGGCTTACCGCGATGCGACTTCGGAACGTTTTTCTTATTTATTGATAAATATGCATCCTAGCACGGAGGAACATTTAAGACTTTCCTCTAATATATTTCCCGATGAAAAAACTACTATATATCTACCTTTGTAATATATAAGTGATCAAAAAAACAGATTTAATAAAAATGCCTTCATTTAACTATAGCCCATACGTTAAAGAAAATTTTGAGTTCCTTCAACGCTTAGCAAAAACATCCTCTGACAAGAAAAAAAACGCTCTAATACTTACCGCTAACGCTGATCAAATTTTAGCAATTGTGGAAATTTGTGCTAATATCTTAAAGCATAATTTTACACTAAGTAAAAAGCAACGTAGGAAATTGGCACAATTTGCTGATTTTTATAGGGCGATAGCAAGGACACGCACAGAAAACAGTGCACGTAAACGACTACAAGAAGGCGGTAGTGCTGCGCTTGCTGCTATACTTGTCCCTGTATTAGGAGCACTAGCCGAGCATATTATACATAAATTCTCGCAGGAATGAAACATACAAAGAAAATGATAATGGTGCCGGAAAGCGAGTACCTTACACTTCTAAACATGATTAAAGGTGGTGATTTCTTGCAAAATGAGAAAGCGCAAGCTAACATGGAAATAAAAAATACTTTGGAAGATCCTAAGCTATCAGAAGATGTAAAAGCAAAAAAATATAACTGGTTATATAAGAAACGACGTCAGCTTAAACATGAGTTGGAAAATCGCCCTCAAAAAGTAATTATCGATGATAGTAAAGCAAACGCTCCGGAGGTTGCACCTTATTTGCAGGAAGCCGCTACAACTACACCTAAATCAAAGTTAATTCCTAACAAGTTACAAGCTGAATCAAATTCTAAATCTGAATATCAGACTGATTCAGAACCGTCCACGTCAAAACAAACGAAACGAAGGAACATAACACCTTTTAATGGAATTTCAAGGCGATATTCGAAGGAATTGGAAAATTACGTAAAAGACAATGCTGAAAAATTTAGAATAAGGAAGAATGGGAGCTTTGAATCTAATGTCAAAGGAAGGCTTGTAAAGAATAGTCATTTCACTGAAGTACTCGAGTATGTGCAAGGGGAAATATCATCACCTCCAAAGGGTTTTAGTTTTTTATTTAATCGACTATCCAAGGACCCATTAGTAAAAGAGATGATTAAGGAGACTAAAGGAGAAAGTAGTACAGAAGAAAGCTTGACGGAAGATAATCAATCAGGCAGTGGCACTAGAAAAAAAAGAGTTCTAGTAAAAGTCGCCCCTATAAATTCACCAGGTTTAATACGTCGGAAAAATAAATTTATGCCAAAAATATGGGAAAAGCTCTAGAAAACTTATTGGAAAAAATTTATTATTCACTAAATTCTCCTGCTTCTTACGCCGGAATAAATCGCGTCTATGAAGAAGCTAGACGCAAGTATCCTAAAATAAAATTTCAGGATGTTTATGATTTTTTGCATAGGCAAAGAGTTTATACAATGCATAGACCTGCAAGAAAAAAGTTTCTAAGGTTAGTCACGCGCCCAAGTGGACTACACACAGATTGGCAGGCGGATTTAGCCATATTTGATCAACTAACAAAATATAATGATGGGTATAAATATCTTTTGGTTTGTATTGACGTACTAAGCAGAAAAATTTTTGCTGTGCCTGCCAAATCTAAGAGATCTGAAGACATGATTGAGGCATTCGAAAATATTTTCAAACTTTCAGAAGGGATACTTCCTCATAAATTATATACGGATAGAGGATTAGAATTTGAGGCTAGACGAATGAAAGAATATTTTAAACAGAAGGATATAGATAAGCGTGTAGTATACAGTCCTGATGTTCATTCTTCAATGGCAGAAAGAGCAAATCGAACAATCAAAGAAAGACTATATCGATATTTTAGCGAAAAAAACACTCTACGTTGGGTTGAGGTTATAAAACAAATCGTTTCTGGAATTAATTCGAGCGTTAACCGCGTTATAGGTGTTACACCTAATTCTGTTAACTTTAAGAACTCTCGAAAATTATTTGAGAGGCTATATAAGGATACACAAAATATTAATCCTCAGAAGGTATTACCTATACTTAAGCCTGGACAAACTGTTCGTATAACTAAAGAAAAAGGTAAATTTGAAAAAGGATATTTGCCAAACTATACTGACGAATTATTTGTTGTCTATATAGTAAACGACGCGCATAATCCTGTTACATATAAGTTAAAAGATTTTGAAAAAAATATAATTGAAGGAGTGTTTTATAGAGAAGAGCTAGTACCTACGCAAGAGGATTCAACACATAGAATTGCAGAAATTTTGAAAACGCGTACCACACGTGAAGGAATAAAGCAGCATTTCGTACGCTGGGTTGGATACAAAGAAAGCTATAATAGTTGGATTAACGATACCGATATCGTTCGAAGATAAATATGGACTCCTTTTATGTAGTCTTGCCTTCAAATACCGGAAGCGTTGAAGGAAATACAACTTCAAAATTTACTGTGCGAATGCCTGATACACTTGAATTGGATTCTAGCTGGACAGTCGCGCTTTCAAATATTATATATCCGTTTTCTTTTTCATTGTCCGGGGATTCTGAAGAACAAGAATCTATAACTGTGTTTCGAAGATATGGAAATGAACTTTTACCAATTCGTATCGAGATACCAGATTTGTCCTTTGCCTCAGAAGAAGCATTGGAAGAGGCTATTAATGCAGTTTTGCTTGATGTATGGAAAAAGGAATTGGATCGTGAGCGTGAGGAAATGAGGCTTGAAGAGAATAAAAAAAGAATTTATGGGAATTTTCGTAAAAGGCGTTCTGTCGAATCTATAAAAGAACAGTATGATAAACATGGTTATTTCGATTTGAATACAGATGAACTAAATAAATTTATCAAGCTATTATCGGAAGAGGATGAAGCAATTAGTCCAAAACTTACAAATTTGAGTCCAGGAGAAAGCGGTAAAAATATTCGTCTTTTGCCTCCTGCAAATCAAAAATCTCTTTATTTAAAAGTTATTGATAAATTTATTCTTTCACAACAAGCCTTTATTCAATTAGAACCTACGGAGCAATTGGCTAGAGATGGCTATTTTGATCTGCAAAAGCAAACGTCTTTTAATTTTATGAAATATTTAGGCAAAGAACAAATTCGATTACCACCTATAAGCCCTGCCCCTCTTGCAGTTGATGGTATAGAAAGAGTTCGATTCCGTCCGTATACCGATCAAAGGGATAGAATCAAACAGGCTATTACAGAATTTATGAATTCTTCACACGTTGATCAAACTGAGGTGAAAGTTGGATCTGTTATTAGTCAAGGAGTAACCCCTGAACATGAATCAACTCCGCAAAAAATTGCCGAGCATAAGAAACCGGAGTTTGGTTTCTCGCAATATTCTATCACTCAACAATTAGAAAAGGAAGGTTATTTTGATATACCAAAGGATCTTGCTTATAAATTTATAAAATATTTAAATACAGAAATTAAGGGTGCAAAACTTCCAAATGTAACTTCGGTTTCGGGAAGCTCTGTTGAGACAGTTAGATTAGAGCCACAAACTGATCAGAAGGATCTTATAATGAATGCAATTAAAAGTTTTATGTCCTCTTCCCCGTCAAAGCCTGATCCTATTCAACAATCTGAAACGACTGACTCCGTACCATCTGAAGAAGAAAGTTTTGTAATCGAAGCGCCGCCCACTCCTGAGACTCCAGTGACAAGTCCAATAATCGAAGCGCCGCCCACTCCTGAGACTCCAGTGACAAGTACAATAATCGAAGCTCCGCCCGCTCCTGAGACTCCAGTGACAAGTCCAATAATCGAAGCTCCTCCCCCTGCCGAACCTCCAGTCGAGGCACCGCCCACTCCGGTGACAAGCCCTATAGATGAAGCTCCGCCCACTCCAGTGACAAGTCCTATAATCGAAGCTTTGCCTACACCTGAGACTCCAGTGACAACGCCTGAAGAAAAACCGCTTGAATCTAATGACAAAACTCCTTTAGATGGGAAAATAACTCCCCTTAATTATGTAGACGAGCCTGATGAAATGCCATCATTAACTGATGATCAAAAAGTTTTAATGGAAATGGCCGTTCGTGCTGCGACAAGAGCATGGAGAAATAGTGTAGAGTTGGCAGAGCAAGCACAAATAAATATGGAACTTGGTGAAAAATATTGGCAGAATGCACGCTATAAGTATGCGTTAAAAGATAGTGTGATTACATTAAAAGAAACGGGCGAAATTGTACACTTAAGAAAAACGCCTGAAAATATTTTTGAATGGGTTAAATCTCAGTTAATATTGTTAACTAATCGTAAAATTGCAATTGATAAATGGACACAGGAATGTTTAGAGTATGGAAAAAGAGCTTCGGAAGCACAACTAGAAGCTGAAGCTGCAGAATCCCGCGGTGATGTCACAGAAGCACGAAAGGCTGCGGATCGTGCTAAGGCCGCAGAACGTAAGGTAAAGGAAGCAGCCAGTCAGGTTGAAGAGGCTGTTGCGGGGCAAAAACGTTTATCAGAAGAAATTATTGGTAAGGTGGACGCGGAACTTGCGAAAAAAGATGCTTAGTTATTTCCTGTATCTTCAAATATTGAAGATGAAAATGAAAAATTACCAGAAGAAAATATCGAGGAAAATATTGAGGAGCATGATGATAATGAAATACCCTCTGACGACGATGAGGACGAGAAAGAGTGGACACTTCCATTACCAGAAGAAGAAAATATTGAAGGAAATATTGAGGCGAACGAAGAACCAACGATTATCGAAGAAGGTACTGCGGAAGAAGATAAGCAAGAAGATACACAGAATGAATTACAAACAATAACCGATGATGATGAAGAGCAATGGGAAGCTCCGTTACCAGAAGAAAGTAATGAGGTACATGAAGAAACAATAGAAGATACTGAAGAAGATGATACAAGAGAAGAGCCTCCGCAGGAATCCCAAACAATAAGCGATGAGGACGAAGAGCAATGGACACCTCCATTACCAGAAGAAAAAAATATTGAAGAAAATATTGAGGCGAACGATGAACCAACGATTATCGAAGAAGAAACAGAAGAAATTGATACAAGCGAAGAGACTCTGCAGGAATCTCAAACAATTTACGATAAGGATGAGCAATGGGCACCTCCATTAGCAGAAGAAGACCCTGTAAGTATTCCGCCCTCAACCGCAAATTTACTTGAAAATATTGTGCAGCCTAAAGTAGACGAAATAATTCATACAGAGGAGCGGCCTTCTCTTCCCCGTCCTGAAATGTTAATTGGAGAGCCTCCTCACCATCCCTCCTCATGGAAAAGCTTCTTTGGACTTGGCGGTGTGTCAAGCGAAGACAAAACAAAACCTAAAGAGCTTCCAGGCCAAAAGGAAAAAGCAGAACCTCACAAAAAAAAAGTTAACAATAAGAGTTGATGATTCGGATCCCAAAGTAAAGAAAATGCATTTTGCTAAATATGGCTATCCTCCTGAATATCTAAAAATGCTTCTTAATTTCTCCAATATACAACTAGCCGATCCAAAATATCAGTGGGTTTCAGTACACTTTGATAAATTGCATAAGAGGTTCCATGTTTTCTTACAAGGAAACGTACAATATATCCAATTAAGTCGGCAATTAGCATATACTCTTGGTTTCGATTCTGAGAAAGTTCATAGCGGACAAGTGGCAAAGTATATGCCGGATATATCTGGGGGTGTTCGTCAATTTTTAGTCTATGCGCCAAGACTTGTTGAAAATAGTATAATTGGAAATGTAACCGCTCCACTATTACGGGTTGTTAATGTAACTGGTAAACCTGGTGATAGTATTTCCGAAGTATATATGACCGAGCATCCTCATCGTCTATTAGGTAAACGTCATCCTAACATTACTATTGAAATTCGCACCCTAGCAGGAAAATTAGTAAAATTCCATTGGGGAACCTGTATACTTACGCTACATTTTCAACGCTCCCTTTTTTAAAAATGACACATATACCAGTAGATTTGGATAAAATCGATTGGGGTCCATTTTTAGCTGCTCAAGATGGCGGTGCAAAAACCGGCATATCCAATGAAAGTCAATATTTCCAGGGAACAAGGTATCAACGCGGTTTTGGCGTACTGGGCACTGTAGGGCGTTTTCTGATGCCTATAGTTAAAAATTTAGCTACTAGTGCAGGCCAAGAAGCAGTTAACGTTGGGAAAAATGTACTTGAAGATGTTTCACAAGGTCGTTCAGTTAGTGATTCATTAAAAAAACACAGCAGTGAAGGTCTCCAAAAAGTGGGAAAAAAGCTTCAACAATGCGGAAAAGGAAAAAGAAAACGTAAATCAAAACAAAAAC